ACCACATAAACACATTTCATTACACCAATCAAACAAAATAATGTTCTTTTTAGCAGCATCATATGACCCCTTTAACATTAAGAAAGTGCTGTCACTTTAAGAGAACGCACTGATCCAGTGCACTGATACTGTATGTTCAGCCGACTATGTCTGCTATGATACTCACCAAGATGGGCATTTTGTCATAATTTTTGTGTGAATTTGTCCATTCAAGCACAATACTTCAAAGAGAGCTTAATATTTGTGCGCGTTCTGAGACGCGGGTTCACGCGCTTCGGATGAGCGCACACAGATCTTCTCACTGCGCGCGCGAGTTTGCATCATCTGGCTCTTTAATATTTAAACTGGCCAGGCATATATATATATATATATGTATATATATATATATAAAATATTATTTTAATAAATATTGTTTCATTATTTTTTCATTATTATATTTAAAATATACTATAAATTACCTGGTGTTGCATGAGATGTAATGGAAGAGCAGTACGCTGGTGAGGAAGATCATCTTGACTGCTCTGTCTGCGCAGACACTCAAAATTAAACGACGGTCTCCGATTACCTGTAAACGAGAGCAATTAACATCTTACCAAAACTAAACCATAAATCAGAGGGCCTGTTTCTACATTTAAAGAAAGGAACCCCAAGACTTGCCTTGCGGTGTTGGAGGAAGCAGTCTTCTCTTTGGTGACCTATGTGAATCGTGATAAAGGGGCTGCTCGTCATCCTCATAGCAGCTGTCAGGATGATGGTAACCCCGTGGCGTCTCGTATTCCTGGTCACTGTTGGGGTACCTGCACAAGGAAGTGTGATACAGTAATTAACCTTGTATGAATTTCTGTAAATTTGATTTACTTGAAATGGGCTACAATAGTTTTACCTGTCACCCGACAGCATGCTGTCGTCTTCGTAAAACTCCTCTCCACTGTAGTACTCTCCAGTGTAACGATCTTCTTCATACTCCTCTTCGCGGCGAATAGTGGGTCGTCTTCTGTCACTGCCCTGCGACCTGCATGAAGGTCAAGTGGTCAGTGAGAAGCCGTTAAGATTGTGGTCAGAACGTCAGCGAATAACCATGCACTACCATGCAGACGTACAGCTCCAGAGTGCAGTGACGTGGTTAGACCTCATTAGAAAACGAGCAAAATCTTATCAAGACAGCTGTCAGCAGTGTCATAGCCTTTGTAGCTTCTGCATATAGTCTTTACTAAATAGCTGTACAGTCTTAAGAAATCTCAGCTTAAAGATATTCTAGTTGAAGATTTCCTTGCATGGAGTCTAGATTTCTTTAGTGACTGTAAAGCATAGACGTTAGAGTAAATACTTTACATTTAACTGACATGAAGCTGTGAAAGAAATAGTCTGTTCAATGTTATACTGAGAAAAAAGTTGCATGCAGCAAGCCCCTCCTCTTTCCCTTCATCACCCAATCACAACACACAGAGACTCAAAGACGCATCCTGATTTGCTAATGCTTTACTAGATGTTCCTAGCAACTCTTTCCAGTTTTGTAGTCAATCTCTGGGTGTGTGTGTGTATAAGGCCCTGTTCCAAATAGCACTCGCAGGCCTTTGCAGACATGTTAAGTTAACTTAAAGCACCATATGGGACAGGGCTGAGGTGGAAATCCCGACGCTTTTACCCACCGAACACAGTTCTGCTTATCATTCACCATCTGTTTCTCTACAAGCATTAGTACCTGCTATATGAACATATAATACCTAATGTAACATACCTAATATACGTCTCATAGTAGCGCCTTCTGTTCCAGAAAGCAGAGAGATGGTTAAGAGAAAGCATTTCGGTTAGGAAGGAAAGAGAGAAAGGTGGAGAAAAGCAGGGGAATAGGGTAAGGGAATGGATGGACACATATATCATACAGTATATACATGATATATACATCATTTTTATATATGTGAGGCTGTTTTCACACTTGGTTTGATTGCTTTGTCCAAAGCCGAGTTGAAAAACACCGCATCCTCTGCCCCTCACATGTGTTTTTACTCAAGTGGTTTGATAAGCCCCAAAAACATGGAAAGTTTGGCTTCATTTTTTTAAGTTGGTAAAAATTGACCATGGAGGCTCTGAATATAAATGTGATTCATAGTGAGTCAGTCTTCCATCAAAACCTGTGCCACCATAAGTTCAAAGTTTGACTCTCTTTTGCTTATAAATGAACCAATTGGTTGAAAAACATAATTCTGTTTCCTCTCTGACTCCTTGGGTCAATCTGACAAGGCAAACGTCTTAGCGAATCACACAAATGTTTAATGTATAATCTTAGCTAAATTTGGCTCAGATGACCATATCAAGCCTCATTAATCTTGTCAATGTTTTTGAAATCCTTCACCCAGAAATGGCCTCATTTAAGTGATGAGACAGGAGGTAAGGCTGTATCTTGGTGACTAATTTCAAGGTGGGCAATATTACTTGTTTATCTCGTTAAAACGTCCTGAACATGTCAAATAGACTCGGGTCTGCACCAAATGCGTAAAGCAACTCACTCTCATGGAAATTTGTAACTATTTTACACTTTGGCGAATTAGTGGCTAATTCGTATTAATTTGCACGATCTCATTCGTACACTGTTGTACAATCTGCTTAAACCCCATTGACGGTTAGCTTTAGGAGTAGGGTTAGGGGTAAACCTTCATACTACATTTTTTTCTAAAAATCATACATTTCCACACAAATCACTGTGTATAAATTCAAACGGAGTCGGCACCTCATAAAATAGTTATGTTTTCTCATGAGATCGGGTTTGTGAAAACACCTTGAAGAAAACATGGTATCACCAAGGTCAGATAATGAACCAGAGTAGGTGAGAGGAGGACAGTGTGTGGGACAGAGGCCAGGTGGTTTGATTCAAAGGTGGATAAATGCCAAAAAGGAAAATAATTAAAATCTAATGATCTAAAGGTACGGTCACATTAGCAACATTTCGGCCAAATTTTGAGGGCAAAAAAGATCAGGTGTCTATTGTCAATAGTTTAGCAATGTATGAAGCCCAGCTCACACAGGAATCACAGTAAAATTAATTTCTGTTGTGAATTTGCGGGACCAACATATATTCTTTGAGAAAATTGCATGGGGAAATCACACCTATTCCAATTGAAATGTCTGGATTTCGCCTGTGAAAATTCGCCAAACAATGGTAAATGTGACCGCACCTTAAAGCTGATGATAATGCTGATGAATAATCATCTAAATGTGCATAAGTGTAAATGAATCCAGAGTTTAAAAAGGTCACTTTCTTCACCAATCTACTGAAGACGACAGATACTTAAAGGGATAGTTCACCCAAAAATGAAAATTTGATGTTTATCTGCTTACCCCCAGGGCATCCAAGATGTAGGTGATTTTGTTTCCTGGAGTTAAAAACCATAATTTGTGTTCTACTGAAGAAACAAAGTCACCTACATCTTGGATGCCCTGGGGGTAAGCAGATAAACATCAAATTTTCATTTTTGGGTGAACTATCCCTTTAAGAAGTTGCTTAGACCTTGAAAAACATCCTTCCTAAAGCAATTCCAATCAATCAAATGGAATGAAGGAATTGGTTTAAGAAGTCGGGGACATTCATGAGATTACACCGTAATCTGCTAGCATTGTCAAATCATTGAATAAATTGAAATAAATATTTCAAAATAGTAAGAGCAAGATGTTGGATGAACAAAAAAAGCATTCACCTTTGCCCGTGTGGGGTCCTGGGCTTGTCGTATTCGCCATAGTACGATCCCGGGTAACCGTTAGCGGGCATATGCTCATAGTAACAATTGTGTCCTCCGTTGGGTAGACTGGACACGTTGGCGTTGTTGAGGTTGATGTTGGTAGACTTGGGCGACTTGTTGTAGGAGTTGTGATGATGATGATGGTGATGATGGTGGTGGTGGTGGCGATGATGGTTTTGCTGCGCCATGGCATTGGCGCGACCCAGGCGCCCCACGGGCTGTTCCATGTGGGCGTAATGTGGGGGCGGCTGCACCTGCAGGGGGCGCTGTGTGGCATTTGTCTGGTGGCCGGAGCTTCTCCGGGGATCACCATTTATATGGTTGATGTGGCTGCCAAAGAGTCCTCCATTTCGCTGTGAAGAAATACTTGTGTTTGTTAGTTTAAAGAAATACGCAATGGACTTTAGTAAGGGTCGACGCCTTATTTAAGTTTGCGCAAATGAAATAAAGCCTAAAGGCCTGTTCACACCAAGAACAATAACTATCTTCCTTATTTTTCAACGCGGAAGTAAGCCGTTTTCTGTGAATGTGCGAGACTTCTGGTTCATTAGCCGCTGTAGGGAAATAACGAGAAGAATAACAACGTGCAGTAAACGGTAACATTTTATGTACTACAAACCAGTGTGTTCAGAATTAAGATAATACATTAAAATAATAAGGTAAGACACACCAGTTTGCAATATCAAGCAGCAAAACGAGCTGTTTTGTACAGCTAAAAATAACTGGAAGCGGATGAGACATGAAGCCAGACACACAAAATTTACAAATGGCCGCTCACACTCTTACGGGAAAAATAAGGTGGATAAAGACTAACTAAATAAAAACTATTATCCACACCAATAGACAATAACGTTCAGTTTATTATAATTGTGCGCAGCAGTTTTTCCTGATGCTTTAAATGCAGATTCGGAGTGGATTCTGATTGGCTGTCAATGTTTTTATTGTTCATCATCTGGAAAAAAAAACTGTTCAAAAAGTGATCCCAACAATATCGTTCCTCAGTGTCGCTATCATTATATCCATGATGTGGACTTCACTATTCTCAGTGAATTAGAACATTTATTAAAATTTGATCATTATACTTAACGTACTTAGAGACAGACGTAAAGGCAGCATACTGTCCTTTAGCTGATGCAACACACAAAAAAATTCTTTTTGCTATTAAAAAAAACTCTTTACCGCACACAACCTTTGCGAAAAATTAAATATGGCATCTTTGAACATTTATCCAATGCTAAGTCATCTGATTGCCATTTTTAATGATCTCATGGGAAAAAGAAGTTGGAAAGGAGGTAAAATGGCGTATGGTGTGAGTGAATTTCATGAACTGATTAAATCTGAACTGAATTTGAAATCAAGAGAAATGTAGATAACAGTGGATTACACTGGATTAGATATGCTACGCTAAGGCTAACGTTATTACTACAAACCTGCAATACAGATGTACCTATTGCCTAATCTTCAATAAAGTCTCTAATGTCAACCTTTTAGATTGTCAACTTGGTGAATTTATCCTCATTCAAGATCTTAATCTAAGTGTGTACGACCTTCAGGGATGGCGAACAATTAATCGCAACTCCCGTAAGGAATCGTTACCATTAAAAACAACCTTTTATTTGTACCAGGCAGTTAAAGTAAGACAATAAGGTACAGATCGATTTAAAAAGGAGAAAGGGGTCATAAAAGGTGAGTAATTTACCCTATAAATTTCTTCGTCCTCCTCTGGCATAAAGTCTACTAGCTCATCATCCTGCAGGTCACATGATATCGCACGGCGGATTTCTGGCCCAATGTCATGCAGCGTACGAAGGCCAGCCTGTAACCGTGACGACAAGATAGCTAAGGACCTGCTCTTGAATGGAAAACCCTTGAACAGCAGCGACATGTTGAAAACGGAGACCCTCACACACACATGCCACCAGGGGGCAGTTTACCAGACACATTGACACAAACAGGCTTGACGAAGACAGTTCCAGACAGGACAAATTCATGAAAGATGACAACAATCACAGTAGACAAATAGGAAAAACACACGAAAGCACTTCCTTAATTGTACACTCCTACTAATACACTTTAACTGAGATGCTAGCCTTTACTGTGACTTTCTAAAAAAGACTATATTAGCCACATATTCTATTTTGAAATATGAAACGTGTAAACCATTTCTAACATTTCAAAATTGTGAAACATTTCTTTGGTTAGCTACACTAAAAACCTCTAAACAAAGATTATGTTCGCAGAGAAATCAAACACAGTGGTGTTTGATTTATGAGGATGGAGACCAACAAAACGTCTTAAAACAATAATACATGAATTAGAACTCTGAAGTGATGGTAAACGAATACAAACACTTCAAACCACATGTATAACAGACAGAAATACATTTACAGATCACCATTATCACATTGTGGGGATCCATATTCAAGCTAAAACAACATCCAGAAACAGAGAGATACAGTTGAGGTAAAGAAGGTCTCGTGCAAAGGAAATACAGATTATTCAGTATTTTTACTATTATTATTATTATTCAGGGTGTTTGCACTGACAGTGATTTGTGTTTGACTAACACATAACATGAAAATGCACACTTGATCAAAATGTAAAGTGACCAATTACAGCAATTGCAGTATGTTCGCACATGCCATTTAGGAGCACATGTAATGTATAATAATTTAAAAATAAAAACAAATAAAATAAACACTAAAAAGGACAGAATATTTTATTTACTTATGTGACATGACTTTAGAGAACTGTAAACATTTGAATGTGTTAAATAACTGAAATATTAACTTAAAGTTCTTTACAGTAAGTAAATATTTTAGGTCAATATTATAAGGATTCGGCTGACAAAAAAAAACTTGGGAATCCTTGGGGTACATTAACATTTAATTCTATTTGATAAATATCTATTCTATTAAATAAATGATTAAAGAACAAAAATTTGTGCCAACAATATAATAATTCAACAAAGAAAAACAAATGGCTTTCTGACAAGAGATCGAGAATGACCTTCAGTGATGCAATTTCTGTCAGTGTTAACGCACAAGTCCAAAACCAACGTATATAAAACATAAGCTCGCAAATACAAATTCAAACAACATTATGACATTAAACAGCATACAACTTATTAATACACTTTAAAGAATCAACACATTTCAATCTCCAAGTACGTTTTGCTTACCTGCAGGGCGACGGCGGTGTTGTTCTGTGCTGGGTGAACGCCCACCAGGCCTTCCTCTTTGCGTTTCTTGAATTTCCTAAAGTAGTCCTGTATCAGGAAAGTGGCATAGAACTTCCCCACCGTTACCTCATCATCTGAGTGAACAGACCACACACACGGCTTCGCTGTCAGCAAGTAGTTTCAACGCACGCATACACACCTCTGCGGTGACGCACGGTGACAGACAGAAACTGACGTTAAGAGATGCTTTGTGTTATTCTACCAGCGCACTCATTGAAAGAGAAAAGCAGCTTTTTGAATTAAATGTTAAGGAACCCTTTAGAATTATCTGGATTTCTACACAAATGGCTCCTAAAATATGACCTACATTATAAACACAGATGGTCTTAATTAACAAACCACATACATAAGCAAAATATGCAGCACATCACAGAACACCAGCGTGTTTTGCTGTTTTAGTCACCTTGAACACATATGCACTACACTAGGCTGTATTTATTTGATAAAAATACAGTAAAAACAGTAATATTGTGAAATAATATTACAATTGAAAAAAAAACTGTAAGGCATTTTATTCCTGTGATGCAAAGCTGAAATTTCAGCATCATTACTCCAGTCTTTAGCATCACATGATCCTTCAGAAATCCTTCTAATATGATGATTTGCCACTCAAAAAGCATTATCATTATCAACGTTGAATCAACTGAATGCATCTATGCTAAATAAAAAAGTATTATTTTTTCAATAAATTTGTATATAAATAATTATAAATTATATACATATATAATATGCAAAACTTTAATTTAAAATGTGTTGTTTGACAAATAATACTACCTAGCCATTCATGCTAGAAATATAGATAATTACAATTAATAGTTGTTATAGGTTTACAAACTTTTATTCAAATGATGGTATTGTAAAAGCAATCAAATGTCAAAATAAACTAATTCTAAGACAAATTAATATGAGGGAAATCTGACTTAAGCTGCTAGTTGTGTTTGGGAACACAGTAGATGGATTCTAGCTGGTTTAAGCTAGTAATTTGCTGGTTATTAGCTGGTATAGACCACCTTGGACCAGCAACAAACCAGCTAGTAAAACAGCTAATGACCAACTTGGACCAACTAGAAACCTGCTATCTTATTCCAGAAAATAGCTACCAGCTTAATGTAATGTCAGTTGTAGAATATTTCATATTCACGGTTTAGCACCCATCTAATTTGAGTCACCAGACATCTGTAAACATATTAGTATTAGCATATTAGCATTAGCATAGCAACTATGAAAGAGATTACTGAAAGTTTGAGTGGAGGATGGGGGTTTGCAAAAAAACTGCATCAGCTAAGCCATCTAACTTCACTAAAATCTAGTCCTAAATGCGTAAGTTCTACTGGGAACATGCAAGCAAGCACTGAGCAATATGTATTAGCACATTAGCGTTGCATTTCTGTGGGTGCATTTGTGCATGTCTAATATACTGCTTTTACATATGCATTTTCATCATCTATGTGTATATAAAGTGTTCATCTGCATGTTGTGTTCATGAATGTGTAAGTGTGTGCGTGAGAATCATTCTGAAGCAGGGGTCTGTGTCACTTTTTTTTTTTAAACAAGCACTTTGGGGACAGATCAGGAAAGAAGAGGCAACATTAGTTCCATGCCACCACCCTAAAACAGAATTGCTTCAGAATATTCTGAAGATTTGAACTTTTACATGAACAGAAAGACAATTAATGAGGAACGGAAGCTGCGGAAAAGCTCAAGCAGATACAGGAGAGTGCGACAGCGTAGAAAAGTGAGAGAAACAGAGAGAAAGAGACACATTTTTAGAAGGACACAGCATGCCTGAGTTGCCATGCAAGCCCAAAGCTCAACACACACACATAAACACACACACACCTTCTCCAAATCCTCCCATATACTCTCACACACACACAAACACACATCATTGAGGTTCCACTGTGGACGCAGTGTGGTACCGAGCAGGAGAGGAGAGCATTCGTGACACATACGGAACAGAACAAACATCGCAGAGACCCGACCAGGAGAAACTAAGAGTAAAACAGCAGGAAAAAGCTAGTGCAACAGCTGGTGTGTGTGTGTGTGTGTGTATGAGCTAGTGTGTGACAAATGTACAATATGACAAATGTACAATATGAGTGTATATGCTACTAAACTGTGTTCAAAAATGATATTTTTGTTCTTTATCTAAATGGATGATTTAGGTGTGAGTTAAAAGACGCAGAAATATTATATGTCTATGCTCTGTTGTGAATGCGTATTCCCATTAGCAGTGACCATCTCTGAGATTTATAACTGACCACCAGCAGGGGGCACCACTTGATCCAGAAGTTTCATGCTTGTTCTCTTCCAGATCTTCTTAATCACAGCTCTGAGCTCTTCGTTCGACTGCTCTAGGTTACCTGGGATAAAACACACACATGTTATCAACACAACTACAAATGGAGTTTCTACTCAATACCGTCAACTAGGGCTGAGCATTATAGGTTAAAAAAAGGTTATTTTTAATCTTTTGATAGCTATAGTTACGCATTTGCTCTGGAACAGCTTAAAAAGGATGATTTAAGGGTGATTTCAGAGGAACCACGATTTTAATACAATGTTTACATCAAGAAATTTAGTAAAATCTATTCCACAGTCTGTTTTTCACTAAATAAATGCAAAAAAGAATAGCATTTAATGATATTATACTTACATATACCCAGATACACTACTGTTCAAAAGGGGTCAATAAGAATTTTTTGGAAAGAAAAAAAATTTCTTTTATTCAGCAAGGATGCATTTAATTGATCAAAAGTGACATTAAAGACGTTTATACTTGACAACTTTTGAAATATTTCTATTTCAAATAAGTGCTGTTCTTTTGAACTTTCTTGAAATCTTGAAAAACTGTTTCCACAAAAATATTAAGCAGCACAACTGTTTTCAACAATGATAACAATTAGAAACACCAAATCTGCATATTAGATTGATTTCTGAAGGATCATGTGACACTGAAGACTCAGTGTCAGACACAGGAATAAATTACATTTTAAACAAATACAGACATATAGACAAATACAAAATAGTTTTTTTATTTAGTTAGTTTTTAAATATTTAAATATTAAATATTTTTAAATAATATTTACATTTTGAAATATTTTTTTTACATTTATTTTTGATTAAATAAATCCAGCCTTGGTGAGCATAAGAGATATTTTTTTTTTTTAAATCTAAAAAAAAAATTATTTACTCAAAAAAAAATTTACTCACTCAAAACCCTATACTTTTGAATGGTAGTGTAACAACATAGATGACCTATTTTTACATACAGTATATTTATATTTCACTAAGACATCTTAAAACACTCAAAATGCAGAATGACATTTGTGAATGATGCAAATGAACTGTTTTGAACTAATTCATTTGAAATAAGACGTTTAAAGCGATTTGCAAACCAATACTAGCAGTTCTGCAAAGAATGCACATACCTTCCGTTTTGATCTTCAGAGCAGTTCTCACAAGAGCAAAAAGTGTTGCATTAAACATGACAGTGCCGTCACTGTTCAGAGGCATGTTCATAGCCACCAGCCTCTGGAATAGAGAAACACAGACAGACAGAAAGAGATAGAGAGGATGGGTTGAGTGTGTTTGCTAATATTCAAACACATTTTTTTGTAAATCTGTGTGCCTTACCTTGCAGGCGACTCTATGAGGACAGAGTTTCCCAAAGCCAAGTGGAGGCTGAATACGGCGCAACAACGTCACTACATCAAGATGTTTTATTCTGCCTCTGCAATACAATATGAGAGAAGCTGCTTTGAAACAATCTGTATTCTATAAAAATCACTACATAAATATAGATGACTTGACAAACATCCTTACTTGGCCTCTGGATCATACTCTGACCAAATCCTCTTAAATTCATCAAGATGATGTGGCCCCAGAATCGACCAATCACGGGTCAGATAGTCAAAGTTGTCCATGATGACAGCCACGAACAGGTTAATGATCTAAAACAAGATATTATTTAATTAGATTCACACGTACAACTTTTGAGAACAACACTGTTGATAAAAATAACCCTAAAAACAAACAAAATGAATCCTTCTGGTGCTTCAGAATGACAAAACAGGTAAAAATAAAGAGATGAAATAATGTCATTAATACATTTTTTAAATGCTAAATTATTTTGTTGGAGGTTTGAAGGTGGACAGGCAACATTATAAATAATATAATTCTAGTAATTATAATAAGTAGAATAAATCAAAAGGAAGTCTCTATTATCTAGTTAGTGTGTACGAACCAGGAAGGCGCAGAGCATGTAGAAGGTGATGAAGTAGATGATGGCAAAGTTGCTCCCGCAGGTCATCTCTTCTCCTGGATTATAGTCTGACTCCGGGTCACACAGCTTCCCTGGCATACATGCCAACATGATATCCTGCCAGGCTTCACCTGTTGCACATCTACCACCAAACAATAAAGAAATCGGAATACATCTTACACTAAACGCTTTTTTTAAACACCAAGATGAAGTGGTAGCATAAAAAAGGGGGAAAGAACAAGAGACAAATGCAAAAACATCTTTGTAAAGGTTTAAAACCCTGGCACTTTTGCCATTAACATCTTCACTGTGCCGATCACTGACCTGAAGAGCAGAAGCACAGCCTGAGGGAACGTCTGAAAGTTGTTGTTCCTGTTGATTTGTGTGTGGTCCACCATGGCAATTTTCCCAAACACCTGAAAGATGGTAAACTAAGTTGCACTGTGCTGTATTGAAAGGTGAAGTGTGTAATTTTTGCACCACGTGTCACCAAGTACACTGAATGTGGGTGCTTTGCATTTTAGTCAAGATATCAACTACACTCACTTGAATGCTATTTAGCAAAATTGTAAATTCTTTTTAATTATCATAGATAAGACCACCATAAAAACATAAGCGAAAGCATCAAAAATGACAATAAAAACAATACAATAAAAAACCCTGAAAGATTTTCTATGCATATCATTTCCGGATTGCACAATACTCATTTTTTGGTGGCTGTGGTTGCCATTGATATTTCAAAATTGTTTTGCTTTAAATTTTGCTGTATTTTGGAAAAATTTACATTAATTTGTCAGAAGTCAAACAATAAAACAAAAACAAAAAATCTGTTCTGCAGTTGCATTTCTCACAATTCATGTCATGAATCATGTCATGAATTGTGTTTCTCACATTTCATGATGTATGCAAAAAAATACAACTTATTATGAAACTAACCTGCATGCCAATGACAGCATAGATGAAGAAGAGCATGGCTATTAGCAAAGCGACATACGGCAGGGCCTGAGAAAAGACCATAAAATATATATTACTATGGTATGTACAATAATATTTATAAATAATAATATTTTAGCACTAAGCTTTAAATTTCCTAAAATAAAATAAAATAAAATATTGTGCTGGGGTCAAATTAACCCAAAAAGAGTCTATAGATAAAATACAACTTTCTAATAAAATGCATAACTGTACATTCACACGGGCTTCAGCGTCAATGCTTGTCGGAGGGCGTGTCTGCTTGGTGCAGATGCGACTGTCATAGTGACAACAGCCAGTCACATTACGTTTCCCGTGTTCCATGAATGTGATTGGCTAACATCTGCAGTAGAATTTTTTTGCATAGGCGATCTGATTGGCTAACGCCTGGGTTGGTGCTTGAAAAATTTTCAACTTCTGCCACAAGCAACGCCAGTGATGTGACGCAACGGACCCACAATTCAGTTCGGCAAACACATGACGTTACACATTTAAAGTAAATGAGAAGCGTTAATGCAGACGCCCCGTGTGATTGAACCGTAACTGCTAGAAAGCTTTAATATTATCTGTTAGTTCATTAAGTCAGAATAACATCTGACCTGGAAGGACTTGATGAAGGTCCAGAGAAGGGTTCGAATGCCCTCCCCCCTGCTCAGTAGCTTGACCAATCGCATCACTCGGAAAAGACGGAAGAAGGTGATTGAAATGCGAGCGCTGTCTTCAGTGTTCTGTGGGGGTAGAGTCAGCATTAGTGAACCAATCAGGAGAAAGATAAAACACAGGGCATCTGGCTGTATTAAAGCAGTCTGACCAGCAGAGAGAAGCACAATATAATTTCAAAGCACATGGTGTGTTGGAACTTGTAAATTAAAAAAAAATGCACATTTTGAATTTAGAACTTTAATGCGTATTAAAAGAACATATAGGCTGGTTTGACTGATCCAGAAACACTACCAGAGACCCTGTGTTTCACGCATATCCTAAAGAGAAAAGGAAGGGGGTAGAGAGGTTCATGCTGGGTAAAAATACAATAAAACAAACAAAAAAAACAAACCTTGCCATACTTGACTGCACGCATCAGCACAAGCATGGCACTCTTGACCCAGAGTTACTTCATGCCAACTTACAGTGGGCCCCCAAACCTCACGGGTGAAAGGTCAGTTTGAGGTCACAACCTTACCTGACCCGATCCGACCTAATCTGACCTGACTTCAGGGGCCCCTTAACCATGCAGCAGTGTCAGCGCTACAAACGTGAGGGGCCGACGACCCCACACACACACATACACACTCACACAGTTTGTCACGTTTGGGTGACACTCCCCTAATTGACAAAATAGTCAAAGGATGTAAAACCAAAGCAAAATCTTGACAAACAAAGCAAACGAAGAAAAAGCAAACATAAATATAAAGCCAAAACTCAACAAATCGAAGTCAGGGTGGGTTAAGATGAAAGGAAACAATGTTTAATCAAGATTTCAGAACTCAAACGGAAACCTGAAAAGGAATGCAGACTGTAAAACTGGGCTAAAAGCCCAAGAGGGGCAGAATTTCTTACCCCCGTCTCATCCACCTGAGGTGCCTCTGTGGGCTTTAAAATCAAAGACCTGAATTAATCACTCACACATAACGTTTGCACAGCCACTTACGCTTTAAAATGCATTCACAACATTCACCGGCACTCATAATACCACAAACTCTATAATAACATTTCTAACCAGAACAGCAAACCTGCTCAAACAACCTCAAGAATAGACAATCTTTCATTCAAAACTGCTTATAAGGACTGAAAAATGACCAGTGACAAACAGAACTAGATTCACATAAGGGGCTTATATAACATTCAACCTTATTTCTATCTCGTAGATTACATAAGCAGCTGCAGACAGCATCCGACATATAGTACAGCGCACACACACAAACAGGACAGTGAGGAACGCTTGCGCACACTTATGCAACGATTACAGCTTTGTAAACAAGAGCGTATCCAAAAAAAAAAAACACTAAGCAACAGCAAAAGACACAAGTATTACAAACCCACAATGCCACATTATGAAATTTACATTCCTCTATATTCAGTGTCTACATTGAGAAACAGTGTCAACCCTGTGATGCAAATTACATCTGCATTATAAATAGATGAACGCTATAATGTTTCTGTGTTGTACAATTAAATCGAATTATTTACCATACAGAATATTTAGTGAATTAATCATAACAATTAACTAGCAACCAATACCACACAGTCAAAACATATCTGGTTTTGTAATAATTAACAACACTTATGCACAGAATATGCTTCTGAAATGTCCTGTCATAATCATTTCATTAGATAAATGTGTCCACCAATGACCACTGCTGATGTAATGTATTTTTGCTCAATTGAACAGCTTTAAATTTAGCATTGTTATTGCAAAGATTAACATGTTTTCACATGCACACAAAATAAACTCTGTCAAAGCATTTGGCTTTGAGAACAGATCAGTTCTTGACTCTGAAAGATCAAAAAACACATTCATCAACATTAAAACACTCACACAGTGGGCAGAAAAATCAGCATGTAATCAGAAAAAAAGATGAATCCTTCATCTGTGCAGAAAGACTACAGACAGTTATGGCTTCAGTCACACAGCCTGACATCCCTCATCATTAAACTATTGACATTTGCATGAGAAGCAGAAATTATAAGATGCAGTTTTTGGCTGTAGCATTAATGGTGCATGCGTTAAGCAGTCAGGCACATGTGCACACGCTAACACACATACAATGTCTTTCTCGAACGCGCTCTCGCCATAACAGCAACACAAGACTTGAAGGAGCTCAGTATACCAGCAGCACCGCAGCATCTCCATGCATGTGCCCTGCAAAAGAGACACCACCCGAGGGCACTCTAACAGTCCAATGCAAGAGAGAAAGAGAGAAAGAAAGTAAGAATTCGAAGAAGGAACGCAGAAAGGAAGGAAAAAACTAAATAAAGATGGCAGGAAAGAAAAAAGGAGGGAGGGAAAAGGAAGGAGGGATTGAGATTAAGCAAAATTAAGCAAGGAAGCAAGGAAGGAAAGCATGAACCAAGAGAAACAAGAAATTAAAGGAGTTCTATTATGCTCTTTTACAAAGTCTTGATTTTGTTTTGGATTCGTCTGCCTTGGGAAAGCTAGCGTGTCTCCGACATAGTGATAACACTCGTTGCCTTCTCTAGTGTAGCTCAACCAGGTCTCGTCCCATTCGTCAATCTTTGTGATATCACAAATCCCGGAAAATGTGCGTTGTAGTCCAAACGAGTCGTTCGTTGTAGTTTTTGAAAAGTGTTGTTTGTTAAATAAAATATCTCCTTTTGAAGTGGACTTTGAGCTTTGTAACTTTGCAGATCTTTTTTATGCTCAAACAGCAACATTACAGACCAACTAAAGTTGAAAAAGTGAAAAAGCATAATAGGACCCCTTTAAAGAAAAATAAGGGAAAAAATAAGCAAGAAAGGATGGATAAGTGGCACAAAAGAGGAAGGAAGGTAAGAAAGCAGAACTGAGGAATGAAGGAAAGAAAAAGGAAGGAACTTAAGGAAAAGTGAGAGAAAGAAAAGAAGAATGAAAGAAGGAAAGCAGAAATGAAAGAAAAAAGTTTAAAGGAAGGAAGGAAGGAAGGAAAAGTGAGCAGTAATGGAGGTCATGCAGCCTGTCTGACATCTACACACCTGCTCTACTCAAACTCTCTCCTCTGAGGAAGACAGAACAGAGAGACAGTCACTCAGCAGACACACAGACTACAGATAGATATGTAAAGATAAACTGCATCTTGTAACACTGAACAGCCATTGTTAATGTGATGTCATAATGAGCCTGTGCTGCCCTTCACATCTGATCAGAGAACAGAACTCAATAGCAGCTTCTGTGAGCAAGAATGCCACAGCAAACAGTGGGATTACATTTAAACACACCAACCAAGTGCTCTTCTCCAGCACTGTAAAATGATGATATATATGCTTATGCCAAATCAGATTTTGGATTTCACTTTAATGGGGTGTACTTTGTGATGTCATGTTTAAAAAATTCCTGATGAAGGTCATCCGACCGAAACGTAGTCAATAAATATTTTGATATTTTTTGCATAGTGCGTGGGATTTGTTTTTTGCTTTTTAGGATGTCACTTTAAGAAATCTTTTAAAATGCCAAATTTATTTATAATTACCAATCAGAACAGTAAATTTTATTCTATCTATCTATCTATCTATCTGTGAGTAAAATGCTGCATAAGATGATACAAACACACAGTATTGTAACTTTTTTCTTGCAATACTTTAACAAAAATGTCTTATTTCTGAGTGATTCAATTTTCTGTAGAGTTTGGACTTATTACATGATGATGATGATAATTTGAAAAAAAGAAAAAAAACTGTGATATGGTTTAAACAATAATAAATGTATTTTTATTACACTTGTTAAATTACTTAATAATAATAATAATAATAATAATATATAACTTTTTTTTTAATGCTCACACACAATTCAGTTTTGAGTCAGAGCCTGTGAGAATACATTCAGGGTTGAATCAGGTTCAGGTGTGATTCAGACTTCACTAATTCAAGGCTTGGAAATCTTAATTAAGAATTTTATGAAAAAAAAAACAAAAAAAAAACGGAAATAGATTTCCAGAACCCAGACTACTGACAACTTGGGTGGTCACTGTTGAGCTCTATTCACGTGATTCTACCTGTGTTCTTCTTCCTTTTTTGTGAACATCTCTGTACACTAGAATGCTACTGCTTTGTTTGCCAGTGATTGGACGCTCAGCTTTGATATTTTGATTACTCGTTATTTAAATCAGCTCTGAGCTCCAGGGCCATTCTGTCTGGAGGTGAACAGGAAGTGCTGAAAGAGAGGAAGTTTAAACTTCAAACAGACTGCACCGCTTGGGCACTGACCGGAGGAGAATGGAGCGGGTGGCCGAGCGCCATCTGCAGAAAATGAAGCTAATGTTAGCAGCTACATATCCCAGCATGCAACAGGGGATGGGCAAACCAGTCACTCCAACCACCGCAACATTGGGTGAAAGTCACACATACCCCTGAGTGGGGAGTGATGAGTATAGATATGAGCATGATAGATCCGACAGCAAAACGCATCTGTGTAGAAACGTGCTGTCTTTGATCTAATGCTTTATATCTATAATTGCAGAAAGCCACTAAAACAATTAGTGATAAAATGAGTTTCACAAGGCTTTTAAATGATGGAATGATTATTCTACAAGGAGAGGAACCAATTCTAGGGAAAGTTCACCCAAAAATGAAAATTCTGTCATTTTTTTACCACCCTCATGTCGTTTCAAACCTGATTGTTTTGAAGAATTTCCTGGCCATTCTTTGCAATATCATGAAACTGAATGACAACCAGGACTGTGAAACTCCTAAATGACTAAAAAGCACCATAAATGTGTCCTAAAAGTGGTCCATATGACTTTTTTTTAGGTCTTCTTAAACATGCATTAACTTTAAGCTGTTATTCACTGAAAATCTTGAATCCTTGGATTCATGTGAAACACAAACATGTGAATTCACAAAACAAGTCTAAATGATTCATTCACAAATCACAGTGATCCATTTCTCAACTCACTGATCTCACTCGAAGATCTAGTTAAGAGGTGAATGATCAACTACATTTAATTAAGTTTCTCACCCAAAGCTATTATACGATGTCCAGAAGACATCTTTATGGAGCTTTTCCATTCATTTTCTG